GATTGCACGAAATTCAAAAATACTTTTCCAAATTCGGAAGAGTACGAGAGCACCCTATTGCAAATGATGCATAGGTTGCAAGCAGCGAAATTCTGTAACAAATACAGCAACAAGGTATAACAAAAAAATGTAGCGATCTATGGTTTTTTGCAAAATATGTGCATGGGTTCGGACGTTGCATACTTTACAGCGATAGGAAATGCTGTTTCCCATCTATTTTGTTGTTGTGTGTTTGCAAGCTATGCAATCCGGGCAATCCGTACTACGTGCAACGGCTTTGCAAGATTTCGAGAATACCCCTATTAAACAACAAGCAGCATAGAACCAGCCAGACAAAACGATAGACACAAAAACAATGCTCACAGCGAAACAGTGTGATTATCATCAGATAGGCACATTCCAATGTTGTGAGAAGCGATTTCAATTAGTTTTGAATGTCAGTTTAACCACGTTTTGCCGTTGCTCATTCACATTTTATTGAGAAATAGGAAAGAGAGAAACAAAATGTAGCTTTGTTTGATAACAGAGTGTTTATTTTTTACATAGCGCTAGTGTGATCATAACAGAAAGACACTGAGAAAAATTTCAATAAAATTTCAATTTGAATTGGAACCATTTTAAGATCCAGTTAAAAATATTTATAAACGCTATGAAATTTTTGACTTTAGAGCAATACGACACGTTAAGGCACTTTGTAAAACAGCCAAAAAACTATCCTACCTACCTACTTACCTATTTTTCCATAGCAATTTGGAAAAATAACGTTTTCTATTGGTCAAACGTAGGGGTCGGCTTCAAAAAAAAAATGAATTCATTCGGCATATTGTTATAAACAATTATCTGCTAAACACGACTTCGCTTCCCGGGAAAATTCCATAGTTGTTCGGGCAGAACTCGTGTGCGCGCTCCAAGCGCTCATAGAAGACATCTTTGGGTGCCTTGTCCCTCTCTTCCGTCGTTGGCGCAAACGAGCGAGCGAATGTTGAAAAATTTTGCTGCGATGCAGTTTGTAGAGACACGCTCCTCCCACCACAAATCCCAACATCGAATTTGCGTTGGTTTACATTCCATGTAGTAGATTTTGGAAGGCACCACGCGTTTTATGCTTTACACTGTCCGCTCAATTCTTGGGTCTTTGTATTTTTGAGGACATTAACCAGCTGGGTATAGGCACCTTCCTCATTAAGGACCCCGCCATTCCAGATACATACCCCCACATCGTAGTCCTTTAATCGATTGCCGAGGCTTCGTAGTTTCTTTTTCATTGGAGTTTGTTTTTAAGGCTAGGGTTTTGGCTTAGCGCATTAGCTCGTTTCCAAATGGGTGTTCGGTGTAAACACCGGAAGGCGTGAGCAGCTGGAACCTAATGCAAAATAATGGCTTTTGGCCATTCCCTTGCGATTGCCAATAAAAATCACATGCGTGGCCTTCTGCGCCCGGAACCATCCTCATACACTAGTGCATAATTCAGCCCATTAAATAAATGTTGCTAGAGGCCTCGCATAGCTGATATCGCTGACGTCCACGTTACGTTTAGCCCCGCCTCTGTATGTATATTAGACAGTGTCAAACAAAACCAATCTCTTTTTTTCCTTCGGTCCCACATGAAAATTTCACTGTCGGTGGAAAAATGTCGGTCCTCCATCTCTTTTTTTTTAGTGAGCGCTTGCAAAAATAAGCAATTTTAATGAAAATATTTGTTTGCAACTTTTTATAATAAACAATAAAATATAATAAATAAAAACAAAACAACCTTGTAGCCTATTCAATTCTTATATAACAAATACAAATTTTAAGTTTCTAGGACGTACCGTTGATTTTTGGCCATTTTTCTTGTTGACGGTGTCAGTAATTTTCTTTTATACAAAGTGTGTTCGAGGGCTTGTTTATTTACATGGAAAAAAATTTACGAAACCTTCAACAACAAAAATTGCCAAAAATCAACGGTATCTCCTAGCAACTTCAAACTTGCACTTATTATACTGAAATTAAATAGCCTACAAAGTAGTTTGCTTTTATTAATTATATTAATTTGTTAATAAAAAAAATAGCGTCAAAGGTTCTTTTCATTAAAAATTCGTATTTTTGCGAGTGCAAATCAAAAAATTTAGATACTCAGCTGAAATTTAGCCACTACTAGACTTTTGTGCACGATAACGAAATTTTCAGGACCGATAGACAAAAATTATTCGTTTTATTTGACACTGTCTAATGTACCTATATATATACAGGGTGTCCTAAACCACCCGTGGAAATGGAGGGAAATATTTTTTTTTGAATAACGCAAAGATATGATTAACAAATCGGGTCTTTTAATGGTATTACCGACTTCCGTTTTCGACCAGAAGTAGGTTATACTGACCGGAAGTCCATTTTTTTAATAAGACAGACATGTTCTTATTACAGACTTTGATTGTGAGGATAAAAATACTGGACTTTTGTTTGTTTCTTCTCAGAAGTGCCTTTTTGAACCTCAAAATGACCTTCGAACATTAATTTGTCCTGGACTTCTGATATGGACGAAAATGTTTTTATTGGAAAACGAAAAAATATAAATCACCAAGTCAGGGATGCTTTGTCTTTTGGTCGTTTTACCGGCTTCCGTTTCCGACCGGAAGTGGGTAAATACACCTCCTTTTGTAAAGAGTTGAATTTTGAAATGTTGAAATGCCTCTCGAGAGGCAGGGCCAAACCTGCGACGATACATCTGTCATGAAAAGGCTCCTTTCATCATTATCAATTACAAACAGTTACATATTAGATTGAGATATGCAATCGGAAATAAATCGGAACAAACCAATAAGGAATTTGGCTTCGTTTGAAGAAGCAGATTAAATTTATTTCATTCTTTTAAGTTATCTAGCAGAAAAATATATTATTTCGCCGAATTTAAGAAGATCTTACAGGGTGTAAGAAGCTCAAAAAATCACTCCTAAGTGTGGACATGGATTTATGTGGATCGTTTTTAGACCAGTTTTCAAATTTTTTTTATTTAAGAGCTTGTTATGGTACTCTCACCTCTCTTGTGAACGCAATGCAATGATGCGTTTTCTTCACTTCTTTGGATTGTGGCACGACGATCGGAGTTCCGGGTACAGAGAGTTATTTAGAAGGCTGCCTGAGCAGTACCCTTTGTTTTTGGCACCTAAGGTCAAACTGATAACTGGAGTCTTCTATGGAAGAAAGAACGTCGTAAGATTTCCACAAGGGAGCAATGGAGAGGTCCAGATACTCTCTGGGCAAGCCCGATGAAAACTTTCTACATCGACGGCTCCAGGACTCTGAAAGTGGTACTAGAGCTAGATGGAATGTGGATGGTTATTCCAGATGCTTTACTGATTTGGATACAATCGCAACGGTCTTTCAATCGGAAGTTTTTGCAAAGCTGAAAGTGGTAGACTGGATAATTGGAGACAGGTAGGTCTGCAGTTGCAGCCAAGGTGCTCTGATGGCCTCAGAAACCACTCGAATCTCTAGTAAAAACTTCGGAGGTTCATAAAGAAGTCCGATAAGTTTTCCCTTCCTCTAAATTCTGTCTCTAGACCTTAAGTACAATGGCCAATACTGCCTGAGTGCTTGGAAAAATTGTTTCTGATTCTGTCGGCCACCCACAATTCCAAAGTCGAGTTGAAGAACTTTCTCTATAAGGCATTAAATGGTTGGATTTCCATCCGAAATGTTGAGTACCATTAACAGATCATAGCTGCAGTTTAAAATGTAATCTTGATAAAATTTCAAAAAGTATGTATGAAAAGTAAAAACTGATCCCTCCAAAATAAAAAAGGTCCACTATTAACAGATACTTTTATTTACATAATATCTCTCCAGATCTGTAAAATTTACTCCAAACTAACCTAAAGTCTTTCCTCTAAAAATCAATGAAATAATTTAATTAGATTGCTCACAATAATAATCAAAACAATATTAGCAAATCAATCTTATCAGACTTTTCGCAAATTTCGACAAAACAAGGTATGATTAACGTATGTATTCAAGAGAACGGAAGTAAACTATATAGTATGACTAATGAAAATTTTTGCAAAAATATTTAAGTATACATATATACACATTCTAGTCTTGAATGCAATTCTCTAAAATTCATCAAGCAAGAAACTGTATCACTGTTTAAAAATATTTGAAATAGATAAGAAGTGACATAAACAACGCGTCACAATTTTATGCGTCTAATTTGCAGAGTCTCGTACTCTACAGACAGAAAAGAACCAATTTAAACCAATAATCAGCGTTGCCAGAAGAGCGAATTTTTCCCCTTTTGCGGGAATTTTGAACAAAAGAGGGATAGCGGGAATAATGGACGTGAAAACGGGGAAAATTACATACGCCGTTCCCATAAATATTATAACAATACTATTAGGGACAGCTGTATGGAATTTAAAGTTTAGTTACGCGAAGAATCTCGTCCGTCAGCATCCACCCCTAAGCTGAAAATGTCGCAGCTCACTAACGGTTCGGTAGNCCATAAATATTATAACAATACTATTAGGGACAGCTGTATGGAATTTAAAGATTAGTTACGCGAAGAATCTCGTCCGTCAGCATCCACCCCTAAGCTGAAAATGTCGCAGCTCACTAACGGTTCGGTAGCACATCAACCTAAAAATTCAAAGATAAAGCTATGTGAGTTTGCGGCGGAGCACAATATTGCATTTTCTTAATTTGGTCACTTATCAGTGCTGTTGAAAACAGTATCACATGAATGATGCAATATATATTTTAAAATAATACCTTTGTATTAATAATATTACATGTAAATTGAATTGTTATTGTTATTGACTAAGATTTTAAAAAATACGGTATTTGATCGTATAAAAAATAAAACACGGAAAAAAATTTTGATTGCCATTTCTTAAAACTGGGTTATATAAAAAAGGGGAAAAAACGGGAAATAAAAAACATCAAAAAGGGAATAGGCCTAAAACCTGGCAACACTGCGTATAATCCGTAAACAAATGTACTAAAAAGAGTTAAACTATTTTCAGATGAGCGACGGTGAGAAACCAGGTGTGGTGAATATTTTGTTATAGAAATAGGTAACAAAAGACGATTCACTCGGAACAGAGAACACTGAGAAGTGAGAAAACGCAACCAACCAACTAAACAAGCAACCCATAAACAACATTAAGAACAATTATTAAGTACCTTGTACAAATTGAAGTGAGCTGAGTACGTGCTCAGCAAAATGTATGGCAATCGCGTCATTGCGCCCAACGCCAACGTCAACGCCAACTGCAGCGTCAGTGCCGGTAATGCCGGTCGCACTATGCATCGTGGTGGAGTTGAGCCAACAAAAGCCGGCTACGATGGAGCCAACGCGATCGGCGCAGTAACAACAACCATGACCACAACACCACAGCCAATGAGAGTAACAGCGGCACCAACACCAGCACCAACACCACCACCACCACCACCAACACCATCATCGTCACTAGCAATGAGAGATGGAGCGGCGGCAATAATGGGAGCAAATAATGCGACAGGGAGAAATATGGTAGGAGGAACATTGGAGCAGAAATTGTCGCCGACGAGTGGAGCGAACGCGACAGCAAGCGCATCAAAGCCAGTAAATTCATACGTTAGCAGAAATAAAAATTCAGTTGAAGGTGGACCGCGTGCGCAGACGGATATAACGGATTGCGAATTGTTGAGCAGACAAAAAGCAAATCAGCAGCAGCAGCAAAAAGAACAAAAGGAAACAGTGCGTCAATTGCAACTGACAACAAATCAACAGCAACAACAACAACTACAAAACTCTGTAAATTTCAAAGCTAACAATAACAGTGCGACAAAAACAACAACAAAACCAACGCCCCCAACAGTTGGTATTAGTAGTAGTAGTAACAATAATACTTTCGGTCAAACGTCATCGGCGACGATTTATTTAAATCAGAAAAACCACAACAACAACAACAACAAAAACGCGAGTGCTAACACAAATTTCGGGCGACAACCGCTGCAACAGCAAACGCAGAGTAATTACGTGTCGAGCGCAAATTTAAACGCGAGTGCAAACGCCTACGGTGAACATAATCAATACAACAACAACAACAAC